GGCCATCCAGGGCAATGTAAAGAGATCCTGTGGGGGGGGGGGAGAACAGAGGTGGGGCGGGGTAAGGGGAGTAAAGGAAGAGAGCCCAACAAGGGAGGGCAAGGTTGTTTTCATATTGTTCATATCAAATATAATTAATTTTTTTGAACCAGAGTTTGTACTTAGCACAAGAGCTACACAAACCACCCATATCAAAAGACTAGTTAAAAATTTTTTTCTGTATCAGTTGGGTGGGGGTGGCACATGCCTGTAATCCCAGGAAGATGAATTTCTGTGATTTTGAGGCCAGTCTGGTAAACGGAGCGAGTTCCAGGACAGTCAAGGCTACAAAGAAATCCTGTTTTGAGAAACCAAAAAAGGGGGGTTGTGGTAGAATATTATTTTAAGGTGTGTGCTTTTTGTTTATGCTGCGTTTTTTAACTCAGTGAAGCTGTGAGTCTTTGCCTATCTAAAACACCTGATGGTCTAATAAAGCGCTGAACGGACAATAGTGAGGCAGGAGCAAGGCTAGGCGGGGCTGGCAGGCAGAGAGAGTAAATAAAAGGAGAACCCAGGAAGAAGTAGGGAGCAAGAGAACAAGGAGAGGGAGACATCAGGAGTCACCAAGTCACCCAGCCACCCGCCAGCCAGCCACAGTGGAAGAGTGAAAGTGACATATATGAAAGTAAGAAAAGGAACAAGCCCAGAGGCAAAAAAGGTAGATGGGATAATTTAAGAAAAGCTGACAAGAAACAAGCCAAGCTAAGACAGCCATTTATAACAAAGAACAAGCCTCCGTGTGTGAGTTATTTGGGAGCTTAATGGTGGGCCCCCCAAAAAGCCAAAAGAGTAAAAAATAATCACAAAATGGGGGCAGGGGGAGGCTGGAGAGATGGCTCAACTGTTAAGAGCACTGGCTGCTTTTCCCGAGGACCTGGGTTCAATTCCCAGCATCTACATAGCAGCTCACAGCTGTCTAGCTCCAGTTCCAGGAAATCTGACACCTTCACACTAATGTACATAAAATAAATTTAAATAAAGTATTTTTCTAAAAAGCCCATGCCAAGCCTACTCTCTCTCTTTCCCTCTCTCCCTCTCTTCCTCCCTCCCTCCTCCCTTCTCCCTCCCTCCCAGAGGATCAAGCTGCACCTCTGAGCTTGCTCCCTGCCATGATGGCAATGGACTTTTTTTTTTTTTTGGTTTTTCGAGACAGGGTTTCTCTGTATTGTTTTGGAGACTGTCCTGGAACTAGCTCAGAAGACCAGGCTGGCCTCGAACCCACAGAGATCCACCTGCCTCTGCCTCCCAAGTGCTGGGTTTAAAGGTGTGCGCCACACGCCCCGTGATGGCAATGGACTAAACCTCTCAAACTGTAAGCCAGCTCCCAATCAAATGTTTTCTTTTATAAAAGCTGCCATGGTCATGGTGTCTCTTCACAGCAATAGATCACTAAGACAGAAGTTGGTACCAGAGAGCAGGGTATTTCTGTGACAGGCTTGACTGTGCTGCCTGTCAGTGGAATATGGACTTTGGTACTTTGTATTAGGAAAGCAGTTAAATGCATTAAGTGCTACTTAATAGGCCATCTTAGTAGAAGCATAGAAGACAGTGGTACTGAGAGCAATATAAAATATAGTGACCCAGCTCAAGAGGTTTCAGACGGCAAGAGTACTAGTAAGCAGCCTAGAGACTGTTATTGTGATATTCTGGCAAAAAACTGTGGTTGCTTTTTGCCCTTGTCCTAAAAATCTGCCTAAGGATAAATGTAAGAGTTTTGGACTAATATCATTGGCAAAGGAGATTTCAATACAAGCTAGTATTAGCTGTGTCATGTGGTTATTAGTGATCATTCTTATGCAGATCTATAAAAAAAGAAGTGAGCTGGACAAAGAGAAACACAAAATGTACATTTTGAAGAGAAAAGGAACACCAGGAAGTATAATGGAGCTAAGTCCAGTGTTCAAGGAGATAAAAAAGTTTAATGAAAATCCTGATTCTAAATGGAATAAAGGGAGTGGTGACATCAGGACAAGACCCTGCCCAACTAAGGAACTTCCTTTATTATATTATTTAAATTTCCTGGGACTGGAGAGATGGCTCAGTGGTTAAGAAAACTAGCTGGTCTTCCAGAGGTCTTGAGTTCAATTCCCAGCAACCACAGTGACTCACAACCATCTGTAATGAGATCTGGCGCCCTCTTCTGTCCTGCAGACATCCACGCAGACAGAACACTGTATACATAATAAATAAATAAAATTTTAAAAAATCCTTCAATTCCTTGTGAAAAGGAATCTAAGGGAAGTTTAAACAGTGAAGGAAACCATCAAAAGCATAAAGTTGGTGAAGATGTAATTGAACTAGAGGGTCAAGTTCCAGCCCCAGCAGGCAGCAGAACTTGGACTATTTGGTCATGTGGTTCTGGCTTTAGAGTCAAGGCTAGAAGAAAGAGGTTATGGAGTCTTCCCCAGCAACTAAGGAAAACTGCCGAGGCCAGGTGTGTGTCAGGGCTGTCCCTGCATGGAGGCCTAGAGAAACCATTGTGTGAAGCTGTGAAGGTGAAGCCTGGATTGCCTTGGAGACCCCAAGATGTGGGAGGTGCCAGAGTCATGGGATACCTGCCAAGAAGAGCTGCTAACAGGGAGTGGAACCAGCCCAAGAGAAAGAAGTGTGTTGCAGTCAACAAAGATAAAGGAGTTAGAGAACTCAAGAACTCTTTGACATCAGACAAGGAGATGCAGAGTTTGGGGTTTGCACAGCTGTTTTTGGTCTTGCTTTGAGCCAGTATTTCCTCACTAAGCTCTGTTCCCTATGTTTTGGAATGATAATGCATATCCTGTGCCATTATATGATGGAAGTATGTGAGCTGCTTTTGCTTTTACATACTGTATAGAGATTGCCTTGAGTCTCAGAAAAGACTTGGAACTTTTAAACATTGTTGAGACTGTTATAGACTTTGGAGACTTTTGAAATTGGACTAAATACAATTTTACATTATGATATAGCAACAAGCCTGTAAGAACCAGAGTGGAATGTGGTGGTTTGAAAAAGAATTGCCCTCACCGGGCAGTGGTGGCACACGCCTTTAATCCCAGCACTCGGGAGGCAGAGGCAGGCGGATCTCTGTGAGTTCGAGGCCAGGCTGGACCGACAGCCTCAAAACAATACAGAGAAACCTTGTCTCATAAAAACCAAAAAAAAAAAAAAAAAAGAATTGCCCTCATAGGCTCCTACAGTTTGAATTCTTAGTTTCTTCACAACAATACATCAATGACTAAGACACCTTATTTCAAAAACATATACAGATGATAGATAGATCGATGGATGGATAGATAGACAGACAGATAGACAGACAGACAGAAAGAAAGAAATATTCCAATCTAAACTGGGCCTGATATGTCATGCCTATAATCCCAACAGTCAGATGGTTGAGACAAAAGGATTGCAGCAAGTTCTAGGTCAGCCTTGTCTCAAAAAAACAAAAGCCCAAACAAAACAAAATCCCAATATACTATACACTATTTGTATATATTAGAATAAAAATAAACTATTAGAAAAATTATCATATAAGGTAACTTAAAATATTTATTTCATTTTGTATGTATGAGTCTTTTGCCTGGATGTGTGTATTACACCACATATGTGTCTAGTGTCTGTGGCAGATTCCCTAGAACTGGAGGTATGAAGCTTGTGAGCCACCATGTGGGCGCTGGGAACTGAACCTGGGTCCCCCACAAGAGCAGTAAGTCCTCTTAACTGCTGAGTCATCTCTCCAGCCTCAATATGTAGTATTTTTTGACCAGAATACAAATCTGTGTTTTTTCTTATTTTCTTTTCATTAGTTTAAATCCTTGAGAGGTAATGTTTTATTTTATAAAGTATTTTGTTTTGGTTTTTCGAGACAGGGTTTCTCTGTGGCTTTGGAGGCTGTCCTGGAACTAGCTCTTGTAGACCAGGCTGGCCTCGAACTCACACAGATCCGCCTGCCTCTGCCTCCCGAGTGCTGGGATTAAAGGCATGCGCCACCAATGCCCGGCCTATAAAGTATTTTTAATGACTCATTTATTTTTACTTTTTATGTACATTGGTGTGTTTTGTCTGCATGTATGTCTGTGTGAGTACGTCAGATTCCCTGAAACTGGAGTTACAGGCACTTGATTGTCAACCACCATGCAGGTGCTGGGAACTGAACTCAGAACCTCTGGAAGAGCAGCCAGTGGTCTTAACCACTGAGTTGCCTCTCCAATTCTGAGAGGGAATATTTTCAAATGACATCTAAAAACAATTAGGCCAAATTTTTACTATTAGAGATGACAGTATGAAATATTCATCAAATGTATAAAAAAGTATTGAACCAGGTGGCACATGAGTATAATACCACTCAAAAGGAATCTGAGTTTGAGGTTAGTGAGGATATACAGTGATAGTTTGTTTCAAAAATAAATAAGTTTTAAAGCACATTCCCTTACTTTCTGTTTTTATATTGTCACATGCAGTACCAAGAAATCCACTGACTGGCACCACTGCAGAAACTACACAGGTAATAGCTTTGCACAGTGTGCATAACATAGCATAATATTTAACTAACTTACATAATGGTCCTTCAGTTAACAACTTTGGCCCAATCCGGTCTTGAAAATTAAACCAGGTTTTAAAGAAAGACTCCTCCATCCCTGCACCAGATATATTCAATAAATATGCTAAAAGAAAGCCCAGTGTGCAAAGCCAGGAGTGATGGCTCATGCCTTTCATCCCAGAAGCAGAGGCAAGCAGGTGATGGATCTCTCTGAGTAGGAAGGCTAGCCTGGTCTACATACATATAGCGTTCCAGGACAGCTAAGGCTACATATAGCAGGTCAAAAAAGGCTAAAATAAATGACTATTTTACAATATCCTTTAAGGGGAAAAAGTCACTAATTACAAGACACAAGAATTCTTCATCAGAGACTATCGTATGGAAGGAATTTGGATGGTGCCCTGGTCTTGAATGAACTACAAATGTTTTCTGTTTATTTATTTCTTTTAGCATACAGACATCAAGCAAAAGAAATAAACACCCCCAAATTGCAGGAAGAAACAGCTGGCAGAATTGTGGAAAGTTTTGTAATTCTGGCAAAGGTGAGGCAAGCCAAGGACACAGCAGGAGTCAAACAGAGCAAAATTAAAATTTCAATCAAGTCTCAATTGTGCTTCTAGGTGCCTGGCAACCGATCGGATTTTGATAGTAGCACTATGTTAGGGAGAATTTCACATGAAAATTAGAGAGAGAGACAGAGACAGAGACAGAGACACAGAGAAAGACAGAGAGAGAGACACACACAGACACACAGAGACACAGAGAGATAAAGACAGAGAGAGAGAGAGAGAGAGAGAGAGAGAGAGAGAGAGAGAGAGAGAGAGAGAGAGAGAGAGAGAGAGATCTGCTGAGGCACTTGGAGATTTTACCGGGAGATAACTGGCTGGGTAGAAAAACAAGGATTAGGAACAGAAAGTCAGGCAGAGCCTGTGCTCTGGAGCAGAGCACCGCACAATTCGATGCTCACACAGTCGTGGGACTCTGAACACGCTTCTTTGAACGCACAGGCTGGGTCTGGGCCTGAGGGTGGGTCTGTCCTTGTAGCCAGCTCTCACAGAAAGACCCCAGGTTGCTGCTGCTCTGAGCAGCTCAGGGTTCTGGGATCTGGCAGAGTCTGGCTTCTCTCCCACCAGACCTAACATGGAGTCTTGTCACTGGTGAGTCACACATTGCACTTACCTGCCAGGCTGCTGCTACAGAGACAATGGGAGCCAGGAAAAGGCCAGAGCCCCTTCCCCCAGGTGGCCTGGGGCGGCTCTGCTTCCTCTCCTATGCCACAGAGGCCCAGGAATGTTGGGCCCAGCACAAGGAGTCCACCACCACCCTTGTGATGAATACTTTTGCCCAAGGCTAAGCCCAGAGGAGCTGCAGCCTTCAGAGGCAGAGGAGAGATGATTATGAAAGAGATGAGCGATACCGAGAACGCAGAGCTGGCACCTGCATAGATAGGGGCACTTGCTGTTCCAGCTCCGAGCAGGAACAATGGCAGTTTACAAAGAAGAGAGCTCTCAGCTTCGGAAGATGGTATCTCCAGAATAAAAGGCTTGCCACTCCAGGGCAACCCGACTGCCTATGCGCAGCTACATTTCACTACCATTTTTTTTTATTACGAGGGAACAGCACCCTGTAAGGCAGCAGGAAACGCTGCTTCTGGGGGGCTTTCCTTGCCAATGTGCTTCTGTCCTGAAAATGTAATACCCAAATGCATGTTGATGGTGTCTGGAGGTAAAGTCACATTAAGTGAAGTCGTCAGGGTAGGACTCCCATGAGAAGACTTAGAATGGCTTGAGCCGACAACTGTTTATGTCTCATGTACCACACGATTTTACAGCAAGAAGGGCTGCATCTTGAACTTGCCACCTTCTAGAACTAGGAACCAAACAACGTTTTGCTCCTTGTAAATTATCTACTTTCTGGTGTTTGATTATAAGAAAAGGAAACACACTAAGAAGACCCACAGAGGCAAGTTCTAGTGCCTGTTTTACTTCCCTGTATGTGGGCCTGATTCTGTTCTGTTTGATTTGCTTTGCACAGCTTGTGCTGTGTTGTTGGCAACTGGATGTTTTAGAGATATTGGAGCAAATCTAGATACTGATTCTCCCCTATCTCCCAGGGCCAATTGGTTACTCATTTGACTGGCTTAGTGGAGTGAGTCGAGATTCCTGCACCATGCAGAGCCGTTTGATGCCTTTCTCAGAGGTTACAACCCTGGACACATACCACAGTCTCCAGAAACACCAGGGTTATGCAGTTAGGTTCTCTCTGACCTCATCTAGCTGCTCTAACAGAAATGATATCACACCCAGCTAGTGTGCTTCATTCATTTGTAGCTCTGTTTTTGATACATCATAAAGCATCAATTGTGCCTCAATCTGATCAATCTCCTTTTCAGGGACAACAATACTGGCCAACTATGAAGCTTGCTCCTACTTCAGGACAGTTCTTAGCTGTCTCTTCTTCATTCTCTCTTTTAATCTTCTAGAAGGTCTATTATTTCACTTGGCACCACAAACCCAGTGGAGCCCCTGGCTCTCTTTTAATTGCTCACCTCCAGGATGGCCATTTTTCCGTAATGTCCCAGGTACGAACTGTCCATGCTCTACTTTAAAATACTTCCTCGAAGACTGAGTGGTAAAGCTTTTTGTCCACTTGGGCTCTCTCTCCTCTTGGGCAAGATCTCTGTAACACTGCACTTGAAGTGGGTGGAGGGCGGAGAACTAGTGGCCTGCCTCTCCCAGACGGACACATTTGCTTTATAAGATGGGCCTTGAGAGGGGTGTCACACCCTGGTCTTCCTGGCTCATCTTGCCCTTCCCGGTATGGAACCTCCACCTTGTGAGCAGGCTAGAGTGCCAGGCACGCAGTAAGACTTCTGTCCAAAGGTAGAGGGGGAATGAAATGACCTCCCGTCCTCTGCCTTCTAGTTGCCTAGGATTCAGCTTCTATATGGCTCTGAGGAGGATGAGAAATGCTGATGTCCTGCTCTTCCTTAGCATGAAACCATAACCCCATCCTGGGAATATCATAAACTCGTGCATTCAAACTTACCCGATTCTTCGAATCCATGCAATTGTTTTGTTAATGCTAAAGTAATCTCAGTTTTTAAAGGAAGAAATAGAGCCCCTGTGTTTTGAAGTTATATTCCCAGAAAAAGATTCCTTCACAGGGAGTAGGTGGAGGGATGTGGGAAAGAGTTTGTGGCCCAAATGCCATAGGTTCCCATTGTCCATACTACGGTTTAATAGATTTTCTTCAGTGTTTCTCCATTTTCTTGTCATATTTAAAAACAATTCAGAAAGCCGGGCGTTGGTGGCGCACACCTTTAATGTCAGCACTTGGGAGGCAAAGGCAGGCGGATCTCTGTGAGTTCAAGGCTAGCCTGGTCTACAAGAGCTAGTTCCAGGACAGCCTCCAAAGCCACAGAGAAACCCTGTCTCGAAAAACCAAAAAAATAAAAAAATAAAAATAAAAACAATTCAGAGACATAATCCCCCTCATCTTATTTTATTTTATCTTTGGGTTTTTTTTTTTTTGAGACAGGGTCTTGCTATGTAACCCAAGGTTGCCTCAAATTCATGATCCTCCTGTCTCAGTCTCCTGAGCGAACATGATACCCTGCAAAGCTTCTTTTTTTTTTTTTTTTGAGACAGGGTGGTCCCAAGTCCTTGAATTTAACATGCTTATGCCTCAGCCTTTCGGGGGGCAAGGATTACAGGCATGTCCAACCACACTTGGCAACTGTGAGGGGTGTGTGTGTGTGTGTGTGTGTTGAGGTAGACAAGGTCTCACTATGCAGCTCAGGTTTGCCTCTTACTCACAGTCATACCCCAAAACAATTTTCACCAGTTAAATGGATATTTCATTGAGGTGTTTATCTACCAATTTCCTCATCTCACTAATTTCTAAGTCTTCTACCACAATACTGTCTTCTTTAGAAATAGGTGAAAAATCAAAGTTTGTTTGGTGATAGTATAACTTCATGCTTTCACTCTTGATTATTTCAACCCAGTGCATTTTTATGATGAGAAACTTAAAATCCACTCTCGTAGTTTTCCTTCCTTCTTTCCTTCATTTCTGTTGTCTTTCTTTTTAGACAAGGTAACAGTCTCTCCTGGAGCCCAAGCTGGCTTCAAACTTGCTATGTACTGAGGATGACCTTAAAGTTCTTATCCTCCTGCCTCAACTTCCTGAGTGCTAGAATTCAAGAGTGTCCCTCCACAGTAGCTTTGTTCACCTCTGGGGATCAATTCTCCAGCCTCTTGTAAGAAGCTGGGAGAGATTCCCCAGCCCCCTCTCAGATTTCTTGAACTTATTCCTCCTACAATATTATTGGACTCTGCATTCTGTCCCAGAATCACTGATGACAAGGTTGGTTTTTTGTTGTTGTTTTGTTTTTAGAATTTCAGACACAAACATTTGTATTTTTAATTTTCTGGTATACCTTTCTGTGGGTTTTGACAGACAAGAACAAGCGCCATTCTTGTAAAGCCCATAATAGCTTCAACTCTTCCTTATTTCCCAAGCCCTGGTAACCATTGGTCTGTTTCATTTCTGTTTTAGACATAATGATGGCCCACATTCTACTATCAGAAACCTGGGAGTGCTGCCTTATATGGCAAAAGAACTTTACAGGATGCGATTCTATCAAGGATCTTGAGAAGAAATCGTCTGGTGTTATCTATCCATGTGGGCCCTAAATGTAATGACAAGAATCCTTAAAATAAGACTGAGAGGGGGAAGGAGGAAGTAAGATGTGAGACTGGATACCAGAGGACTCAGCTATGGAATGCAGATAGCCTCAGAGCTAGAAAAGAAAAGCCCCTGCCAATACCTTGCCTGAAGGCTGATAAAGCAGACCCTGCATTTTCATCCTCCAGAAGTGTAAGAGAATACATTTATGTTGTTAAAAGCTATTCAGTCTGTGGTGGTACTTGGTTACAGAGCAATAGGAAACAAACACACATTCCTATAGTATAGTCTCTCTTTTTTTTCAAAATGTCATATATAAGGAAACTTACAATTAGTTTAACTCTTTTATGTTCTTACCCTGAAAGACTACATTTAAAATTTGTTCATGTTACAGAACATGCTGGCTCATGCCTTTAATCTCAGCACTCAGGAGGCAGAGGCAGATAGATCTCTGTGAGTTGGAAGCCAGACTAATCTACACAGAGAGCTCCAGGCCAGCTAGGGGTACATAGTAAGTCTAAAATTCATCTGTGTTTATATATATTTTACCACTATGAAAGGAGAGATTTATCCTAATTGGTAAATGAATTAATAGACCTTCTCTTAGACTCTTTATCAATTCACCAGTTGAAGGACATCTTGAATGTTCATAATTTTGTTGGTTTTTTATTATCTTGGTAAGTAGCTCAGGCTAGCTTTAACTCATTATGTAGATCAGGTTTTTTTATGAATAAAGGTGCTGTAAATATTTGCACATAGTTTTTATGTCATATAGATTTTCAATTCACTTGGCTACTTAAGAAAACCCATAAGCTTTTAGACTGTGGAAACAAATCAACTATCATTACCAGAGAAACAGATTATTAAGTGATACAAAAAAGAATTACAGGCTTGTTAAGGCCAAAGTTACATTTAAAAAACAAGCCACAAGCTCTGAGTTCCAGACCTCTTTTCTGGAAATAAATTCAAAGATATTTAAGAAACCAGAAAAGTATCTTATCCTATTGCTGTGTGTGTGTGTGTGTGTGTGTGTGTGTGTGTGCACGCACCCGTGTGTGCTGTGGTCACAGTGCTTATTTTCATAACACAAAGAACACTGGCCTAAGGAACTCACATCTTTTAGCAACCCTGCTCTTTGACCCTAAAGGAGATATCACTTATCCCTCCAGGCAGCTCCTTGCAAAGCAACTCAGGTATAATAGCCTTCCTCCTGGCTTTGCATTCTTGGCATACCCCAAAAAAGAAAAACAGAGGCAGCCCAGCTCACACAGGATTGTATCTCCCAACAATATGCCCTGAGGGAAACTAGGCTGTCTCCCCCTTCTACAAGAAGTAGACAAGATGTACTCTGCCTGATGTTTTGCCCCTAGGACTATCTTCCTCTCCACTGTCCTGCAGGGGCTAGAATGCAGCTACTGTGATCTTTTGATGGTGGTAGTTCTGTACCCTTTCTCTGTTGACTGGTCATGGGGATCTTCCAGAAAGATGTAAATGTGGGTAAAAGGAAAAATAGCCTACAAGACTCAAATGCAATGGGTGTCTGAACTACCTACCTCTTTGAGTCCCACAGTTGACTTGTGCTTTTTAAGCACCCTAAGACCCAAATCGACACAACATGGTCACGTTGTGATGGTAAAGGGCTAGGCATGCTCAGTCTAGCTCTAATGGCTCATAACAAGAGCCCTAACTCATTCCTCTTCCATCTTCCAGATCTTGTATCTGTCCATGCCTCTTAGAAGTTGGAGGGCAAGGAATCCTGTCAGTCACAGTCACTTTCTGTGACACAGAAGGGTAGAAAGGGTCTGGAAGGGTGGGGAAAGATATTCAACACAGCCCATAAATGGCATTAATGTCATTGGTGTGTTTTTTTTCAAAAGCATTAAGCCATTCTTGGGAAAGTTCCAAACAAAACACCACTCCACACTCCTTTCAATTTACATAGTAGTTCCATTCCTGGAAAATTCCATGTACATTCAAGCCATACAAAAACTACTTTGAGTTATGCTTGCTTCAGCAGCGATATGCTAAAACTGGAGTTATACAGAGAAGTGACCTATGACCCCCACACTAGGACTAAATGGAGCTTTGTGAACATATTCCCTAGATTTATTTGAAGCAATTTTAGAAATAGAAAACAAGGACTTTGGAGAGATAATTACAGATAGGTATTTAAAATACATGGATGTCAGGGGAATATTTGAAAAGTATGTAAGATGTGGAAAAAAATCTTTAAAAATGTCACATGCAGTCTGAAACACAGTAACATTCTTGGCTCATGTCTACTACTTGTTAAGAGACTTTGTCAGTAGATTCCTGTTAATCACTATAATGACCAAAATGTTCCCCATGTTTTTGAAGCACACCTTGGGGGGATGCTGCCCACAGTAATACACATTCTCTTAAGGTAAAACATTCAACATAACAGAATTTCCATATGAAACTTTACCTACTTAGTGTATGGTGCCACACTGAACAGAAGAAATGACGTCTCCATATATGAGTCTCCATTCAATCCAGCACACAGAAGAAATCTCTCACCCAAAGAATTTCCTGTCTTTTGCTTGTGTGTTTGTTTAATGTTTAACTCTGAATTAGAATTTTCTGACTTAGTACAAAGATAATACTGACTAAATGGAACAAGTATACTTTCCACTGAGCTTTAAAAAACAGTTAGTAACTACCCACATTTCCTATCACTTGAAAATATAATATTTAGGTATAATATTCCTTTTTTCCTCTTGAAGACAATATGTCACTACATAGTCCTGGCTGGGCTGGAATTTTCTAGATCAGGCTGGCTTTGAATTTATAAAATCTGTCTGCCTCTGCCTCCCAAGTGCTGGAATTAAAGACCTATGCCACCACACCTGGCAAATTTCCTTTGTTATGACAGAAAAACCTCCACTGTGTGTATATGCCGCCTTTTATTCATTCATCTGGGAACAGGCATCTATGCTGATTGCTATCCAGGAACTCACCGTGTAGCCCAGACTGACCTCAAACTCACAGCAATCCTCTTGTCTTAGTCTCCTAACACTGGGATGACAAGTGTTAGTGGGCCAGCCCTTGCTTTTCTTTCGGGGTGGGGGGTGTCTCATATCCGCCTCAAACCCTTAATTCATCGGCCTGTTTCCTGAGTTCTAGGATTGCAAACATACACTGCTACACCAAGTTTCTTGTTATAAAACATTGGCCATCATGTCCTAATAATTTCATTCTCCTAATCACTGCCCTAATAATTCCATTAAAGTGTATGAGGGACAGGGGTTGGAGAGATAGCACAGCAGTTAAAGTGTTTGCTACTCTTTTGGGGAACTGGAGTTGGGTTCCCAACACTCACATGGCAGTTCACAACTACCTTTAATTCCAGTTCCAGGGATCTGATGGCATCTACTGTCACCTGCTTGCACGTGGTCTGTGCACATCAGTCACACACATAAACATAATCTTTTTTAAAAAAATTTTTAAGTGTTTGTTATGTTTGGCTAAATCCGTCACCCTTTCCACATTAGCTGGCATTCACCTGAGGAGTACAGCTTTTCCTCATAGTTTAGTGATATTTAGTTAACAGAAATATATGCAATATTCTGAAAGGGTTGGGTAAAAAGCTGAATTTTGCATTATTAATGCCCATTCTTCACAATAAATAATTAACTTAATTTTTGCAAATGCTTATCCACTTTGTTCTTCCTATGTTATTTTGAGCTAAATCGTACATGCAAATAGTTCATTTATTTCTTTTTTAACTAACTTTTTGAGTCAGGGTCTCTCTATATAGTCCTGGCTGTCCTGGAGCTCACTGTGTAGACAACGCTGGCTTTGGGACTAAAGGCCTGAGTTACCATCTCGGGATAATTAACTTTTTTAGATTTATTTATGCTGTGTGACTTTGCCATCATGTATGCATATATAACATGTGCATGCCTGATGCCTTTGGATGTCAGAAAAGGGTGTCAGATCCCCTGGGACTGGAATTATAGGGATTTGGGAATTCCCATTTGGGTGCTCTTTAACTGCTAAGCCAATTTTCTAGCCCCATAAATAGTTAATTTAATATATTTCTTTTAACACTTTTATTTATTATGATTGCGAGCACAGGATGTGTGTGGGTATGGGTTTGGCATGCCGTATCGAGCATGTGGTGGTCAAAGGACAACTGTGTAGAGATGGTTCTCTCTATCTTTACATGGGTTCCGGGGATAGAACTCATAGAACTCAGGTTGTCAGGGTTTCACGGCAAGCCCTTTAGCCACTGAACCATCTCCCCAGTCCCAATATCTTCTTTTGATACTGAATGTTTTCAGACTTTCCCTGATTTGAACATCATTACTAGGTCATGGACTTTCATGTAAATTCAGTTTCTCTCATTTCATTGCCACCATTAGCCTTTATATGCTATAAAAATTATGACTCTCCAATGAAACAAGACCCCATTTATCCTTGAGATCTCTCTCTCTCTCTCTCTCTCTCTCTCTCTCTCTCTCTCTCTCTCTCTCTCTCTCTCTCTCTCTCTCTCTCTCTCCTGGCCTCAAATTCAGTCTGCCTCTACCTCCCGCGTGCTGGGATTAAAGGCCTGCGCCACCATGTCTGGCTTGAACATTACTGACTTGAAGCACCATAAAAACATCCTTGGCTCTTTGTCTACTTTCCTTGCTCCTTATCTGCAATAAGCTATTTCTGCAAATGACTCAACTCCCTTTTAATGGGGGAATGAGCTAAAAGACAACAAGCTGAGCACTAGTGACACTCATTACAAAGCTGGAAAATCCATACATATTTGTGGCAGACAAACTCTACAGGGGCCCCCATAATCCCTGCCTCCCTGCTTCTGTCTTCAGGCTCCTCAGGAACTCCTCCTCTTGAATGTAAGAGAAGTTGCCACTTTCATCTAACCAGTAGTATATAGCAAAGGTGACAGGGACGAACAAGATCTTCACTGTTGTTATTTTATTTTTGAGATAGGAGCTCATGTACCTCAGTGTATCTGAGGATGACCCTGTATTTTTAATCCTCTTGCTTCAACATCCAGAGAGCTGGGATTCCGGGAGTGTACCAGTTCACCCAGTTTATAAGGTGCTGGAGAGTGAACCCAGGCCCTCGAGCATGCTAGGCGGCACTCTATCAGCTGCCCTATTCCCAGCCCTGGTTTTGGTTTCCGTCTCCCAAGTGCTAGGATTATCTGTGCACCATCGCAGCTGGCTTTTTTTCTACTTTTTCTGTCT